TCCTTTTGCCCTGTGCTCTCTCTAAACCTTGTGAGCAGTGACTCCTCAGGGTGGGGTCTTGCTTGTGACACTTCAGGGCTTGTTTTTTCATCTGAAGACATTTCTGGTGACCTTTCTAAACTGGCAGGGAATAGAGGTAGAGAATCCCAAACAGGAGCAGATGATGACTCCTACCCTAAGTTTTCCAGTCTTTGTGGGCTTCAGTATCAAGTAGCTGGCAAGGTCATGTGTGAGCTGAGAATGTCAAAGCAATTTTGTTATGTTTCTAAGTGCACAGAGTGGCTTCAGATCTGGAATGCAGGGTTTAAAAAGAGGCATATATCCATGCCAGTGCCCTTCCTGGCATTTTCTGGTCTTCCTGAGTTTTTATGTCTGGTGTTTTCGGGAGTCTGTAGTGCGTGTGGTTCTGTGTCCCTTTCAGAACTTGTATGGGCTTGCCTCTGCTCTGTGTCATCTGCTTCATGTCCATTCATTTACTTGTTCAGCTGCTCAGGAAACATTTCCTGAGTACCTACTATGTGTCAGACACTGAGCATGGTGCTGGGGATAAGCCATGGGAACACTGCAGGCAGGGTCCCCACTTTCTGGAAGTTCCCCTTCCACTGGCAGCATGGACAAAGGTACAAGCCTAAGAGCTGGTTTATAAATGAGATATTCTGGATTGGATCTGAAGAGGGGGCAAGACAGGGGCAAAGCCAGAATGATGATTTGTTGAGCCTGTTCAGAAACCCCAGGGTCTCCCAGAGCAGCTGGCAGTGATGATATATGTACAGGGGGGACTGAGAGTCACCCCCACATTTCTGGCTTGAGGCCCTGAGCTGATGGGCATGTCTCAAACCAACTGCCAAATCAAGCAAAGCTGGCTCAGAGGGGAAGACAAAGGGTTCAGTTTGGGACAGGCTGAATCTGAGATTGGGATGGGGGCTGCCCAGAGTAGACACACAGTGGAAGGACGAAGAAGGAACTGGATGCTTATAAAGAAGCTGGGGTGGGAAAGAGCCTCGGAAGCTGCTAGCCTACAGGCTGCAGCTGAAAGCACAGTGAAGAGGGGAAGGCCTGGACTACACAGAGCACAAGGGCAGAGGTTGGAGCCTGGGGGCCCAGCATCCCATGGGCAGGAAGCATCTCCCTCCTCCACTGCCAAGGAAGACCATGGACAGAAGGTCAGATGGTCAGACAGTCAGAGTGGCTGGCTGGAAGAAACCAGGCAGGCTCTGAGTGGGGGAACCCAAGGCAAGAGAAGTCATCCAGAAAGCAGAAGCAACAGACAGGTCAGATGCAGCTGAGAACTGAAAACTATGGCATGGATTTAACTACACGGAAGTCAATGGAATGTTGGGATCCTCAGCTCTTGGAACCCATTGGAGTTGGGGGACCCTTGTCTTAGAAATGAAGCTGGATCAAAATCATGGAGGGATCTGGTGGGAGAGTCAGGAGCTGCAGCTTTTCCTCAACCCACGGCCTGTAGCTCCTCCTCTGGAGTGTTTAATTATGCATTTATTCATTCAACAAACACTTACTGATTGCCTACTGCATGCCAGGTACTGGGCCTCCCGGAGGTGGGGGGGATTCAGAGATGTGCAGGAGCCATTTCTGAATGGGCTAGAATATCAATAACCACGCCCTGGTGTCCTCAGGAGGTGAATATGCAGAAGGCTGTTCTACAATGATGTCTTCTATCAGTACAGATGGACCAGACTGTGCCCAAGGGCCTGGGCTTCACACCAGAAGGTTCTGGAAAGCTCTCCACACTCAGCATCCTCAATTTTCTCAGCCTTCTCTATTCCTGGCTGCTCCTGCCTCACCAGCAGGAAATGACAAGAACGTAACCATCTAAGCCCTCTTCAGGGAAGATGCCCCTGGCTCTGAGCAACCTTCTTGCCTGGCTGGAAACTTGGGCTTTCATCTCCTGATGATTCCATCACAATAGTCACGACAATTTATTGAGCTTGTGTTATCCATCAGAAATAATCTTATCAGCTCTTGACCAGGTCCCTCCTTGGGTACCCACAGCAGTCAGCAGCCAGGCTGAGCCCCCCAGGCCCTGGACACCACTCTGGACGATAAACCCCACAGCCATTCATCCTCCTAGTCTGTCTGGAAAGGATCCCACCCGGATGGGGATATATCAACTTCCCTCCCCCCCACTTCAGTGTTCAAGGGTTGAATAGTTGGGGGTTGACTATTTAGAAGAGATGTCCCCACTTAGGATACAGGGTGTGTAACCAACAGCACAGATCTTAACAGCTATCAGTGAGGGGCCAGATGCTACCTGGAGTGAGCCCAGGAGAGGAGAGATGACGGCTGAGCTCAGGTGCCCCTATCACACAAACTCATAATCCCCATGTCCCCCCCAAATTTTAGCAAGTGATTGTGGTTTGGGGGGCACAGGAGACATCAAAGGAGGAAGCAGGTGGCTGCCACAGGGAAAGGAAAAAGGACTCTGGTGGCATAAGTTGGTGAAGATAGAGCTGGTGGGGAATTGGGGAGTAAGTTGAGGGGGGCTGCAGGCTTGAACTCCAGGTGCACCCAACTGAGCCCATCACCTGGACTCATGGACATGAAGGAGCCAGGAGAAGACTGTGATGGACTAGATCATCTGACAGCCTCAGTAAAATAGGGAACTTCTTAGCAGAGATGCTTAGGATGGGTTTCCTTAGGACAGCAAACCCTAAGGAGTGTGTTCTGTGAAACACCGATCCTGTGAAACGCTCCTTGTGGTCAGTTAAGTGTGGAAGGGCAACAGCCTTTCTCTTTCCCATGGGAGCCTCACAACGCACACCACCATAGCAAAGGCTCTGAAAAGTCCCACAGTAGCAAGACTATTTTTAACATGTCTCACCCAGCATTTCCCATACACATTTGGCCATGGAGTCTGTGTCTCTGTATGTGTGTGTAAAATTCCATTAATATCCATCAGAGAAACTCTGATCCACATGTTAGGAAGGGCTGTTACTGGGGAATTAGCCAAACTGGAATTTTTAGTTTTGGGGGAGCAACTTGCAGATGTCAGGGGTCTTCTTTCTTGCCTTGTTCCCACCCAACATGCCACATTAGCTTCTGGTTGGATCCTGGAGGTCTTTGGCCAGACATCCTAAGCCATTCTTTGCAACCCTGACTTCAAGCTCTGCCCTTGCCTGGCTCCAAGAAGTGGTAGGACGCGGGGAGGAGACTTACAGGGGCAGGGACGTTTGAAGGACATGTAATCCTTGGAGCAGAACAGCGGAGCCAGCCTGCCCGTGGGCACAGCTCTGACTTCTCACAGGGAAGGCCCCTTCACTCACCTGCAGAGACACAAACAGGCAGGTGTTGGAGGTGCCCGCACCACACCCACTGCCCCACAGGCTGGGTGCTCACGTATCCTGAACTGTCAATCTTTGGGTGAGAGAATGGTGAGCTTGAGAGCACATGTCCAGTGTGGCCAAGTGCTTGGGGGACCTCTGGGGTGTGGATACAAGGGTGGGGCAAGTGCCTGCTGGGGTCCCAGTGGTAAGTAGCTAGTGGTGGTGGGGATATCTGTCTCTCTTGGGACCCTTGACTGGGAACTAGAGATACCATGGAGTTCTCCTGTCTCGTGAACCTGTGAGATCCCACTGCCTTGGGCCACTTAAATAGACCATAGCATCCTTAGCACCTTATCAAACTGTGAGTTCTGGGAAAACTGAGACCGGCAGAGGGTGAGAGGCTAGTTCAAGGCCTCACAGCTGGTTTTGGAAAGGTATTCTCAGACACCAAGCCCAAACCATATTATTATTATTACCCCAACAACTCCAAGAGGAAGATGTTCTTTTTATCCGTATTTTATAAATCAGGAAGTTGAAGCTCAGAGAGGTTATGTAGCCTGCCCAAGGTCACACAGCTTCTAACTAGAGGCTAGAACTAGAATCCAGATCTGCTGGACTCCAAAGCCCACACTGTTGGCCAGCACACTCCTGGCCTATTCAGAAGTAAAGGCCTACAGAATGAAAATCCTTCTTTCCCAAATCTTCCCCTCTCCCCACATGAACTTGGTGTGATGCCTGGATGGCTAGGGCAGTGAAGGAGTGCCAGGTCCCTCTGACACCCATTTGCAATAGAGGAGACATTTTCAAAAAGTCACCCATTCTCCCACGCTGCTAAAGATCTGAACTGGTTTAGTTCTCTTAGTTTGTCCTCAAGTGACTTGAGGCTTTGGGCACTGCAGGCAGAGGGGGTTCCTGTTTCCCAGGGGGTATGGTCACTTGGTTTGCAGAAACCAAACTGCACTTTGGAGGTGCTGAGCGGGGCCCAAGAGGGCCAAGCCCAGTGGGCCCATTGTAGGGGAAAACTGGCAGCTGAAGCCAAGAGGAAAAGAGTCTAACCGCTCCAGGTGCAACGAGGGGGACATGCTCCCTATCCTTGAAGTGGGTCACAGCCTCTTATCTACTTTACCTGTGAAGACACCGAGGCTCAGGAAGGCGAAACAATTTCCCAAAGTCACACTACCAGGAAGCAGTAGAGTTGCTATTAGCACTCAAGGATCAGACTTCCGAGCAGAGACTCTCCAAAGATGGGCCTCTGATTCATTTGTTAAATAGAAAAACCAATTATTAGTCAACGCAGTTTGGCTGCATTTCCATATGTGGAAGTTTTCTGGATATTTGGGGCTACTGGTGTGTCTCACATCTACCAAACACCTGTATGTGCCAGGTGATACCACCTGTGAGAGTGCAACGAGCCCTTTGAGATGGGGAAAATCATTCCCATATTGCAGATGAGAAAACTGAGGCTTAGAGAGAAACTGATTCAACTCCACAGAGAAGAGATGGAGGAGGAGCTATGCAGGGAAGGACCCTGTCCTGCTGCACAGGCGCACTGGCTGGCCTGTTTCCTGGACCTGTCATTCTCCCAGGCTGTCCCCTCTCCTTGGCCTGCCATTCTTCCCCCCACACTTGGAGAACTCCTATGTTTTTGTCAATGCCCAGCTCAATAGGCCTCTTCAGGGAGGTCTTCCTTGACTGCTGAAGACAGGCAGTCACTGTGGCTGTGCTTCTGCAGCACCTGGACATCCTTCCAGGATAGCTCTGGTCCTAAATTATCCTAGACTAGTAGCTCATCAGCACAGAGGGTCAGCCTGGCCTCTGCGAACTAGCTGGTGGAAACATCAGCATGAGCCAAGCTCGGCCCGATGCTAACGCACAGCTGACATACTGAGGCTGCCTTTAAGTGATGCTCAACTGGCTGAGGAGGATGCCTGAGTAAAGAGCTGAGATGCTTCCCAGGCATCTTGTCATCCTTGGTGACAGTGATGCCGACATCAGCCAGGGCTACCTCTCCCTGCCTTGCGCAGCACAATCAGTGCTCTGCACGCACCGCTGCACCCCTCAGCACCCTGGCTTGCATCCATTGATTCATTTACCAGGCACCTACAACGTGTCCCACAAAATCCCAGGAAAACACAAGGAGGGGCTCTTTGGGTTTTGGTCTCCTCCTCCCCTCCCCCACTTCAGGATTTCAGCATGAGGCCAGGCAGGAAAACCATTTCTTGGTGGCATCAGACCATAGGCTGGAGTGGAGCTTTGTTGGGGCCATCAAGACAAAGGACTAGATATGGGGGAAGGGGGCTGCATGAGCAAGTGCCCACCCTTAGTGTCCCTGCATGTGACCCACACTGTAGTGAGGGTACAGTGATGAGGGCACAGACAGGTTGACACTGGGCTGGGGGCAGGCCCCCCAGCTGCCGGGCGATTGTAGGCCCACGCCTGGGTCGTTTCTCCCCTGCCCGCCTCACTCTGAGCCCAGCATCTGAGGCTTGTTCCTGCTGGTGACTCATCTCCGGCTGGCTTGTCTGGCTGGGAACTCGAGGGCGGGCGGGTGGCACTCCAGGCTTTGAAGTGGCTGAATGGTGTGTGTGGTGAGTCCACGTCACTCCCCTTCATGTCCCCACTCCTGGAATACCTCTGCTCTGGGCTGTGCTGTGACACTGTGACACTGCTGTGACGCTCAGACCTGGACAGATGAGTGTGGGGTCAGGGGAGAGAGCTGGGGTCTCTGGTGGCAGGGGAGCATGGCACCCAGACTCATGAGTGATCAGCTTCATGTCATGGGCAACAGAAAGGAAAGGGCTACAGGAGTGGGCCGCCTCATGAGACAGGACATGAGATTGTCCCCCTGTTTACCTGGCACCTGCTCAAATGCTGTCACATGCTGCCAGCTTACTGGAGTGTCAAAACAAATCCCCATTTCACAGATGACAACACTGAGACTCAGAAGAACGAATGAGCCTGGTGAGGTAGTGAGCTCTCTGCCTCAAGAGTGCCCCAAGGAGGATTTTAATCAGGAGATAAAATGGTCAGCTTTTCTCACTTTAAGAAGGTTGAGGTCAGGCTGGGTGTGGGAGGTGGGCAGCAAGAACATGGGAGCTGTGGCAGAAGGTGATGGGGCCTCAAGGGAGGCAGCAGTGACTGCAGAGGAGGGGGAGAGGCCGCCATCACTGGTTCAAGTGTTTATTAAAAGTTCCTGGTGTCCCAGGCTTTGGGTGCTGGGAATAGATTGGTGAGCCGCACTCTGACAGCCCAGCCCCTGTCCTAGGGGTGGAGATACAATAGTAACTGCTGCAGCATTGGTAGGCAACAGGATGGGAGACACAGAGGCCATGTGTGCAGGTGGGGATTGCACATCTGGATACAGCAGCTGCAGAAGGTCTTGGTGAGACGGTGACAGGTAAACAAAGCCTGGAGGAAGCAAGCCAGTGGGACAGACACCTGAGAGAGAAGGTCCCAGGTAGAAGGAGCAGAGAGTGCCAAAGGCTCTAAGAAGGAACACGCTGGGTATTTAGGGACAGACGGGTCTGATGTAGAGGGTAAGGAAGAGGGAGCAGTTGAGGATGATATTTTTGTGTCTGCTTGGGTGACTGGTGGATGGTGGAGATGGGAAAGGCAGTGATTCCAAGTCTAGACAGCCCAGACAACCTCAGTGCCCTGGCACCTAGCACAGTGCCTGGCACAGAGGAAGTACCCAGTGACTGTTTTCTGAATGAATGTATGATGTTATCTCACAGGGTATTCCATGGATCTGTGGGCCTGAATGTGATCACCCAGAGCTGGAAGAAAGTCTGAAATTCCAGGGATGTGCTAATCTCAAAAGGGGTGCATCTGCCTCAGCAAGGTAGGGGCCAACTCTTGGGGCTGCAGGTGGGGGTCCTGAGGCAGCAGAAAATCTTTCTCTTGACATAGGAGGTTTTTATTGGAAGCTGGGACCCAGCTGGTAACTTCCCCAATAGAGAAGAACACACCTTGGCTAAGGCAAATATTTGTCACATGGTTGAATGAAAGAATGAATGAATTTAGGAGTGGTGGGAGTCGGGGCAAAAAGGTGGGCAGAAGGCACCCAAGTTTGCAAATAGGTAACTTGATCCTGATATTAGAAAGGGGATCAGCTCAGCTCCTATAGCTCAACCGGCTAAGGCGCCAGCCATGTACACCTAAGGTGGCGGGTTCGAATCCCCAGCCTGGACCCGCCAAACAACAATGACGGCTGCAACCAAAAAATAGCCGGGCGTTGTGGCGGGCGCCTGTGGTTCCAGCTACTTGGGAGGCGGAGGCAAGAGACTCGCTTGAGCCCAGGAGTTGGAGGTTGCTGTGAGCTGTAATGCCACGGCACTCTACCCAGGGGGACAGCTTGAGGCTCTGTCTCAAAAAAAAAAAAAGAAAGGGGATCCAGGTGTGTGGGAGCCTCTGCAGGAAGGATGCCGGCCACATTTAGGTGACTGGGTCTCCATGTTGTCTTAATCTACCTAGAGTAGCCCTCTAGGATCAACTGCTGGTCCCTTCCCCAATATCGTGGCCGATTTTAGGAGGCTTGATTTACTGCATAAACCAGTCCATCTGTAAGCTGCAAATAGGTCCTGACCAAGTGTGTAGAAAAAGCAGATTTAGAAAACACCAATAGAGACATAGATAAGCATTATTTATAGCAGTGAAACATGGGAGGCAAGCCCAGTGTCCAATAAGGGAGGTTAGGCTAAGCAAACTATGGCACACACTTATAATGAAATATTATATAGCTGTGAAGTCATATTTGTAAAGAAGTTTTAATAACATAAAGACTTTCAGCATAAGGTGAAGAGGAAAAAAACTTCAAGTTATTAAAAAAATAGGTTATAGAACTGTTATACACCATGATCCTTATTTTATAAAAGAAAAAAAATCCCTGGAGAATATATTCATACATAGCAAAAAAGATCAGAAAGGAAATAGATTAAAATGTTCACAGTCCTTCTACTCTCTGGGTGGTAGTAGGATTAAGGAGGATTTTTATGTTCTTTTATATTTTTTTATGATTTTCTAAATTTTCAACAATGAACATGTCTGACTTTTATAATCTGAAAAATCATTAAAATGAAGATTTGAAAAACCCTTTTGTGATAAACTAAAAAGTAATTAAGTGACTGAGTCAGTGATGGTTTAACTCATTGAAAGTTTTTTAAAGCTAATTTAATTGCCTTTGACTATGTCCTTTGTTGTTGAAAAGATTTTTTTAAATGCCAACGTGTCTCTGAACTTACTGATAAGGAGCTTTATTAAGATACCAGGAACATAATCTCCATTGTTTATAACCTTCATCAAATTATCTCTGGCACTTAAGCGCTAGTTACCAAATATTTGAAGGAAGGTTTCTGCTGTGAACCTTCATGTGCTGTTTTCAATCAATCCATGCACATAGCAAAAATAATAACAATAACACATCTTATGTTTGCAAAACACTTCATAATTCTGCAAAGCATACTAAGTGCTGGGTGTTCTTCTAGGCTCCTGGAATATCATAGTGAACAAAACAGTCAAAAGTTCCTGCCCTTGAGGAGTTCGTATTATATTATCACACAATAAACAAATGAATAAGATATGCAGATGTTAGGAAAATGGAGAGAAAAGTGTAGGTAATGATGGGAGGCTGCTATTTTAAATCAGTTCGATTACTGTTTGAACAGAAAAAAATGAGAGGTGTCTGTAAAAATTCTATAGCCTGTGGACAGGTAATATATTCTTTTTCAGTTCTTAGACATAAGATGATTGAAGTTCTACAAGGAGGAATCATTCCAGTAACTAATTACATGCCATCTAAGTTACAGTGTGCTGCTTATTCAATTTGACAAAATGAATGTGAAATTATGATGAGTCATAGTGAGGTTTTAAGTATTCTATCTAACAGAGTGAGATGGCCCTTAACCTTGCTAAGCCTCAGTGTTCTCATCGGTAAAATGGGGACAATTATAGTATCTTAGTCAGACAGTTGCTATTAGAAGTCAAAAACGGGATGCTTATGCTTGGGAAGCACCGTGTGTGCCATGCAAGCTGATAGTGCCCACACAGCAGGGCCACTGGCACAGGTCCCTTGGACCCTGCTATTTGCTTTCTCTCTATTGTGTCTTCAGTTCCCCCACTATCCCAGTAGTGGAGTAATATTTATTCCCATCTTCAAGGGAGAGTTGAAGCCTTGAAAGATAAGTCATCTGCCCAGAATACATGCTATAAATCCAGGCAGTGCAGCTCCTGTGCTCTCAGCTGCAACTCTTGTTTGCAATCACTTGCCAACGGAATCCAGAAGCCCTCCTAGCCTCAGTTTCTCCCTTTAGGAGTCTGAGAGCAGATTCAAGCCTTCCTGTACCTCATCCTGTGCCCTGAGCACTTCAGAGGGCAAGCACTTCCCTGAGGGTGTCCGGTGGAATAGTCCCAAAGACCGATGCTAAAGCCTATATCCCCATCACATTCCTTATTGGTGGTGTTCCAAATACCATATGGACCGGTACACACAGACCTAATTAGTTTCTGATTAAGTCCTTTGGGAAGATGAGGAGAGAGGATTACAGAAGATGTAGGAATGTGACACTCAAGTAGGTGAATGGGGGAAGAGCAGGGAGGTTATAGAGGAAGAAGAAAGAGAGAGTTTCTGTGTAGCAGGAGCCCAGAGGAGGCAGCTCATTCTGTCTGTCTCACCAGGTACCAACCAAGTGACATGGGGACATGTTTCCTCATCTGAAATTCCTCTCCCAGTTCTGGATAGCTGGGCCACAGGTGGCCAGAGGCCAACATGGCTGTCCACAAGCTAGATCATGCTTTCCTCCCACCAGTGCTCCTGACACCTACATCCTCCCAGAACGCCCAGCATCCTTCCCTAGGCCCATGGGCTTTTGGTATGCTCTGCTCTGGGTGTGAAGCCCCAGCTGCAGAGACTGGGGGTGACCCTTTCCTGGGGATGGCCTGGCTCTAAGGTTCTAACCTTTCAGTCAGTCACCAGCTCCATGTCCTCCCTGAGAGTCATCATTTCTAGTACCTCACGCCCCAGTCTCCTGGATGAACAGTCACCTGTGATCAGTCAGCAAAGAATCAAGGCTGGAATGCATCAGATCTCCCAGCTCTCTCCCTGCCCTTATCATTGCCTGAACCATCACCACTGGCATGTCCAAGCTGCCTGACAGCCAGATCACTCCTCAGGGAGAGCAATTCTCCCTGAGCCTCCAAGCCCCGGAGCAGACGGAGGTGTGCCAATTCCCTTATACAGAGTGTGAGCAACATGTGGGGCTTCCCTGCATGGGGTAGGAGAGACAGGCAGGGGTGAAGAGGAAAGGAGGCCCCCTACAATCAGATGAAGGCATCTCCATCCTGGAAGGAGGTGGCAGAGCAGAGGGCGGAACCTGGGATGTGGGGCAGACAGTCTCAGAGGAGGGAGCATCTGAGAAAGGGCGGGCTTCAAGGATCAAGTTGTGCTTTGCAATTAGATGTCTGTAGGTCATGGGGGATTCAAAGGCCTCCTTGAGAGGAGGAGATAGGAGGGGGCGTTATGTCTCCATGGCTCCTCAGTATCTACTAGTGCTGAGCACCTCATAAAATGCACCTATAGCCGATAGCAATTGAGTACTAGCTGTGTGCCAGACTCCAGGCTAGGCCCCCCACCAGCATCATCTTACTTAATCCCCCCAATTCACCTTCTCCACACTTCAGATGGGGAAACCAGGACTCTGAGAAGTTTAAGTGTCTCCCCTAAGGTCATACAGCCAGAAAGTCATCCAAACCCACCTTCTGGTTCCAAAGCCCTTTCATATTCTGCTTATAAGAGAATCTTGCTTATTTTTCAGGTGAGGAAACTGAGGCACAGGGTGGTGAAGTCACTTGTTCCAGTAGAGCAATCATGACGGTTGAGGAGAAAGTCCAGAAGGGCATCCTCTTGGCAGATGCCCGTGGGACTTTGGGGATCAAGACCCAGGACTGGGCTCCTGAAACCCACACCTCTCACACAGACCTCTTGAGCCCTCCCTTTCCCAAGCCTGAGCCCAGCCAACAACTCAGCCTCCAGCCCGGATCAGGAGGGCAGCCCTGGGACCTCCCCGTTCATCAGCCTTCAGACGGAGGAGCCCAGTGGGTAGAGAGGAAGGGCCCAGAGTCAGCTGGGCTGAGCGGGGCACTCCTCAGCTTCCGAGGGCGCCTGGGGAGAGGCGGCGATGTCGCTCAGCGCAGCGCATCGTGTCGGAGCCACCGCCTCGGACTCAGCCTCGGCTCACTCTTCCAGCGCCAAGGAAAAGTCTGCCCCAAATGGGGAGAAGGTGCAGAGGGGACGCTCGCTCTCCCCGCCTGAGTGCTGAGATATGCGGCCGCGGCATACACTGAAACAGGGGCATGGCCCGGGTGACTCGCCTGTCGGAGGGTCAAACTTCCTCGGCTCAAAGGGGTAAGGGGTGGTTCAAGCTCTAAACTCTGCAAAGCCCTAGTCCCTTTCCTTTCCCACCGCAGCCGAGAGTGAGCCTCAGTTTCCCCTTCTTGGATGGGTTGTTTAGGGGGCGAAACCGAGGGCGCAGAGATGGAGAGACTGCCCGTCTGGGACTCGGGTCAGGCCGGAGCCCCAAAGACCTCCCCTTTCCCGCGGCCCGTGATCCGGGTCAGCCTCGGCTCGCGCGGGTCCTGGTGGCCCGCCTGGGGCGCGGGTCCGCGGGAGACCTGGGATTCCGCTCCGTTCCGAGCGCGCTGCGACTCCGCTCCGGACCGCGCATCCGCCCGCTCGGCGCGGAGAGGCTCGGGGCGCCCCCGGGTGTGTGCGTTCATCGGAGCCACAGCAGAACGCGGAGGAAGGGGGCCGGGACCCCCTCCCCGACCCCTCCCCAGCGTAGCCCCCGGCCCCACGCCCCTTACTCGGCTTGGCTGCCGCGCTCCGCTCCGTGCGCCGCAGTGCCGGCTCCAGCTTCGGCTCCAGCTCCGGTTCCCGCTCTGTCCCTGGCTCCTGCTCCCGCTCCGGCTCCGGTTCCCGCTCGGATGCCACTGCACTCGGCTCGGGCTGGGGCGTCGCGGGGGGCGCGCCGCTCCGCCTCGGCCTGCTGGGCGCACAGGGGCGGGGCGGGGCCGGCGCGCCGAGCCGAGCCGAGCCGAGCCAACCTGCCGCCGGCTATCCCAGGCTGAGGCGACAGCGGCGGCTTCCCAGGCCCTGGCCCTGGCCCTGCCCTGTCGCAGCCCCACCCCGCAGCCTGTTGTCCCCGCGCCGCCGCCCACGCCACCGTCACTGGCTCGGGCCCCCCTGGGCGGCGGCGCGGCTCTGGGGCCTCACCGCCGCTGCGCCGCGGCCCGGGTCATTCCCGAGACAGGGGACGCGGGTTGAGTGGGGAGGGCCGAGCCGCGCCCCTCTGCGCACCGCCAGCCCGACACCCACACAACGGCCGGCAGGCGGGGCAGGGCTGCAGGAAGGCCGAGGGCCGCAGGGAGGCCGGCGCACCAGGCAGACGTGTGAAGAGGACAGACGACGACAGGCGTGTATAGAGAATAACATGCAGACGGCAACGGAGGACTGACACGTGCAGAAGGGTAGACAAACGATATGTCAGGGAAGGATGGAAAGACAGGTTGAACAGAAGCAAGGCTGGGCACTCCAGAGCAGGGGAACTCTGTCACAGGCAAAGGACAGCATGGAGAGGGGGACACAGCCCGGTAGGGGCTCCTGCTCCCAGTTGCTGGCAGGTGAGTTCTGGGGCATGCCAGGTGTCAGCTAGGCCTGCCTGAAGTCTTCCTCTCTGAGCCACCAGCAGGCCTATTTCCTTCAATCCTCACCCCACCCTGTGCCTTGGCCCCAGGCTTGAAGTTCAGCCCTGGCAGATGCCACCTTGTTCCTAGGGCAACCCTGGATTGCTGGCTCCCAATGCCCTCTGTCCTCACCTACTCTGGGGCCTTGGACAAATCCCTGCCCATCTCCAGGCCCACCTTTATTCATTGTGATAGCGCACCCATTTATTGCATCCTTATTATGTCGTGGAATCATTTATTTAATCTCTTCTACTTGCCTGGAAGCCCCATGAGGGCAGCTCCTGGGTGGGGGACAGGGAGCTGCACGGACTGTGCTCTTAGTAAATCTGGTAAGTGAAGAGGTGAAATGCATTGTTGCTGACCCTCTCCAGCCCCCATTTTGTTGGTGAGGAAATGGGTTTAGAGGTTAAGGGGATTCAAAAGCCCCTTGGATGGATTTGTTTCAAAAGCCACCTTGCCTGGAAAGCAAAAATAAAGGATGACGACTGAACGTGTTCATGATAAGCCTTGGGAGAGCCGTGGGGATGGAGTAGAAGGGAGGAGGGGTGCAGAGTGGGCTCTGGTGGAGTAAACAACCCTACTCCACTGGGGCCTTGCCTGTCACCCAGCCTTGGGCTTCCCAGGGGTCAGGGCCTGGGTGGGTGAGGACACTTCCCAGGTTCCCTTGGTGGCTGTTTCTTCTGGGAGCTCTCTTGCACTGCTTACCCCATCCCTTCCACAGACGGAGGAATCAGGATCCAGACTTGGGCATTACGGCTCCATCTGGGGGGGTCATGGGGGCATCTGTGCTGTGTGGGGGATGGGGCCAAGATAAAGACGAACATCTCTGCTCAGGGTGACCCTGATCTCCCTGAGAAGACACCTGCTGACTTTACAGGATGGATATTCCAGTTGTTGAGTACTTGCCTTCTCCTTCGCCAAGACTCTGTGTATGTGGGTGTTGTGGTGGTGGCGTATTTTGAATGAGTCCTCATGGAAGGTTCTAGTCCTAAAGAGTTCATACCCCTCCGCTCCCCATTTGAACATCATGGGTCTGTCAAATCTGCCTTATTCCTCAGACTGGAACCCAGAATTGTTTTCCAGTAGTGCTGGATCTAACTAGTTTCAAGGAGTTGGCTCATGTCTGCCTACCTTTCTCTGGCTAACCATCCACAAAGACACATTAGTGTAGTACACTTGGAGAATACCAGAAGGAGAAAGAAGGAAAAAAAAAAAAAGCAGCCACTGTTAATATCAAGTTTTCTTTTTTCCTTTATTTTTAGTTGCATGACTCTACAAGTGTCCTTAAGTGGAGTGCACTATATCTCTGTATCTCCTCTCCTCTGTCATGCTTCTAAGGGCTACCTGGCATTACATTAGATAGTTGTACTAGATTTTATTTAACCAATCCCCTATTGCTGGGCATTTAGTTTGTTTCAGGTTTTCACACTTCTAAACAACACTGCAACAAACATCTTCATGGGTACATTTGTACATATCCATGGTTATTCTTTTTTTTTTTTCTTTCAGTTTTTTTGGCCAGGGCTGGGTTTGAACCTACCACCTCCGGTATATGGGGCTGGCTCCCTACTCCTTGAGCCACAGGCACTGCCCGGTTATTCTTGATGTCAATAGGCATGCTGTACTTTTGATGCTTTCTTTTTCATGGGGTCAGATTTGCAGTAGTGGCATCTCCTGGGCACCAGGGCAACATAGTATTGTCTAATGTTCACTTGCCCAAGGGTCAGCTAGGGAGGCTGGAGGGAAGGGCCTATGGGAATCATGCATTGACGTCTTAGAACAGTGAGATTCCCAGAGAGTCCCCGAGTGCTGGGCTGTGAGGACTTGACCTAGAACATGCTTCATGTCACCTACCCCCATCACTCACAGGGAATTCCAAGAAATATGCTTTCAGTTTGTAAAGAACAAGGCCCATGATGTCATTCATTCCAAAAGCCTGTGGGCTGGAGGTGTTGAAGGGTCCCCTGGGCTGGGTCAGCCTCTACCTCCCCACCATACTTTCTTCCTCTGAACCTCTTTGCCTCACCGCCTCTCCCCTCCCCACAGTGATGGTTAATTTGTCAGTTTATTGTTAAGGGGATCTTCTGATTTTAAAGGTAGAAGAGGGGAGGGGGAAAGACCTTCAGGATGGTCTGGCCTCTGGTCCAGTCTCTGGGTGGGATGTCTGTCTAAAAACCCATCAGACCTTCTGGGAAGATTCCTACTTGCTGGTATACCCCTTTTATGGATGTGCTGTGTGTCAACAGTGTCTTCCCAGCCTTGAATTACAGTCCTAGTTCTCTGTATGGCCTTGGGGATGGAGAACACGCTATGCTCTAAACAGATAGGTAGGAAACCTATCCCACCAGTTTTGTGAAGATTTTTCCTCTTTCCGTCTGATTTTGCCAAAGGCCCCCTTGAACGTGTCTTGGTTCAAGGGGAGATGCAGGAAGAGACCTGGTTCATACTTGGTGGGGATGATGTGGAGGGGACAGGGAGCAGGGCAGGGCCCTCCAAAAGCCACAAGCTCAGAAGTGGCAGCTGACATAGAAGGAGGAAACTTGGGGCAGGGAAGTATCCGTAACTCCTGAAGCACTCCTTCCGGACCTCCTCTCTGCTGAGAGCTTGCAGGGTTTTATGCTTTTACTTCCATCTTACAGATGAGGAAACTGAGGCCTGCAGAAGTTAACTGATTTTCTAGAGATGCACAGCTGATTAAGTAGTTCCAGGTAAGATTATGAAACACTTTAAACAAAAAGATTATGGGGTGCCCTTTTAATTGAGTATTAAGTGTTACTTGTTTCTTTAGTGGTTTGTGAACTATTGTATTATTCTGTAAGTTATAGAAAACTGGTAAGGTGAAAACTATTTTTGTTGCTTGAGCTGAAAATGAATTTTGTCAGGTGATGTCGCTTGGTATCTTAGGGTGGGGGATAACAGCTATCCAAGTATACCTCCTCTTTGGATTCTCTTTTGAATTATGTGTAACATCTTACTGGTTCCCTCATTAGTGAGTTAAATAATATCTTTGACATGTGTTCATTTTATGGTTGTATGACATTCATGATTTCACCCTTTAAAAAATTCATCCTCGGCTCGGTACCTATAGCTCAACCGGCTAAGGCGCCAGCCACGGACACCTAAGGTGGCGGGTTCGAATCCCCAGCCCAGACCCGCCAAACAACAATGACGGCTGCAACCAAAAAATAGCCGGGCGTTGTGGTGGGCGCCTGTGGTCCCAGCTACTTGGGAGGTGGAGGCAGGAGACTCGCTTGAGCCCAAGAGTTGGAGGTTGCTGTGAGCTGTAATGCCACAGCACTCTACCCAGGGGGACAGCTTGAGGCTCTGTCTCAAAAAAAAAAAAAAAAAAAAAATAAAAAAAAAAATTCATCCTCCAATAGCAGTAAGTTTGGAATTTCATCCAGATGGCCTGTCTTATACCAGAGCCTTGTCTTTTATTGGAGACATTAGGGCCTTGGGCCCTCAGAAGAGAGGGAGGTTAGTGTTGGCTGGGTCAATCCTAGTGGGCTTTCTGGAAGAGGGAGTCTTGAAGAGTGCAGAAGGATTTATAGAGTAAAATCTGAAGATAGAGGGCTTTCCAGGCTAGAGGGCAGGGCCTGGGGTTAGGAAGTTATATAGAGGTAGGAGAAGAGGGCTGTCTGAATGGAGGCTGGACTCTGAGGTGCCAGAGGTCAGATGGGAAATGGGAGTGATACCCTGGGTAGGGGATGCTGCGCTTGATGCTGTAGGCAGTAGGGAGCCAGTGCAGGCTCTTGGGGGAAGAAGGAACTTAATGAAGTGAATAGGTTAAAAAGAATTCTTCTTTGGGGTTTTAGACCATTCTGGGGATTTAATAAGTCCTGCTCACTCTTCCTCCTGGCTGGAGAAGGGATTACGCTGTCCCTTTCTATCTCTCATGGGAGGGTAGCCCCAGTTCCACAGGCCTGGGAGAGGTCTTCAGGTACGGAAGGGTAAAAGGCAGTCCCTCCTCTCCTGTCCTTACTACATGAGTCATTTAATTCCATCATCCCAACATCCTGAGAGTTGGGCAATATTTTTTTTTTTTTCACATCCAGCAACAAGTCAAGAGACTTGCTCGAGGTCACATGGCTACTTAGGGGCAGAACCCAGATTTGTACCCAAGCCTGCCCTCAATAGGTTAAGCCAAAACAAACAAAATTTCTCCTTTGTGAGGCTCACTGCCAAGAGGAGGTGACACATGCTAACCAAGGAGTCACAGCCATATACTGTAAAGTTGCAACAATAGATGGGCCACAAAGGTCTGACCTTGTCA